TAGAACTGTAACATTTTAATCGTCGCTATGGAGTTGCTACGGACTCTGCAATCCCGGAAACGGCGTAGTCGCGTGTTGTTTGAATCATCGTCCATGCGTTGTGACGTTCAGTGAGCATGAATGCTATTCCTGTTACTTGATTACCATTTGATGACAGATTACACGAGCACTAGGACAAACTAAATGGGAATTGAAATGGCCTGTGCCCATGTCATCTCCTATGTGTTTTATTAGTCTATAGGCCTATTGTGTTTCTGATAAATTTGATGATGATGAACATGGATTATTTTGCTTATATTACATTTTTTTTTAGGTTTTAGCGCCACACCGTGGCCGGGAGGAAGAAAGCCTCCGGCTATATATATCAATTTACTTTACAAGAGCACAAGATGTGTGCACTTCTAATGTCATGACAATTTTGGAAACAAAGTTCACCAACATCAATCACAATTTGGTCATTTTCTTTTCACCTTTTTGGAAGATTTCTAAGGTTAGTTACTCTGACCTACATATTACTGACTTGTATAACACCTTAGTAATAATACAATAATCATACACATCTCTGGACCTGGATGTGTTAAAAATGTCACCATAGCATACCCTGATTCAACATACCACTGGGAGGCTGCATGTCAGCACTGGTGGAGGGTTTGATGGGAGTAAAAGCGGTTGGTTGGATGGTGGGAGGCATGTCAGCACTGGTGGAGGTGTTGTTGGGAGTAAAAGCGATTGGTTGGATGGTTGGAGGAATGTCAGCACTGGTGGAGGGGTTGTTGGGAGTAGAAGCGATAGGTTGGATGGTGGGGGTTTGGTGAGTGGAGGGATGTTGGTCACTCCAACCTCAATTGGACAACAACATAGTAACGTTTTATGGCACATACTTGCAAATTCATTAACTGCAATATATTAATAAAATACATCCATACAAATGTATGTAATGTTAGACTTACCTTGTATAAGCACCTCAAAAAGGGCCTTCATCCGATCGAGACATTTGTCAGCCTGACCAGACAGCTGCCATTTGGGGTGCAGGACATGGGTAAACCAGGTGGCAGGCTATTTTCCTGGTTTAGCATGTAAAATTATTGCCCTGTGCCCCCAAAGTGTGCAACTTTTCAAGCTAAAAAAAGAAACAGTCAATAAAAAAAAGTCATACAGAAATATCACAAGCCTTATTTTTGTGAACTTCAACTACAGATGTTAAAAACTTACCAAAACAGATGCCTCATCCATAACATGTGAGGTGGTTTTGTTTTTTTTTGTTGTTTTTCCAACCAGCCCTCTTTTTTTGCTTCAAAAATCTTTAGTTTTTTTGCCAGTCTTTGCTTTCTGGGCTGCACTGCCTTGCAAGACTTGCAGGTCTTGGTGGCCACAGCAATCTTGGCTTTGCAGCCAACGCATGTTGTTGATGTAGATCCTCTTGGCATTGTAAATCTGGAATAAAAAGACAAGACATAAACAACCAAACTGACAAAAGAACTCTATTATTTAACTATTGTGTCTTTAAAAGTATAAAAAAATAGTTTCAGTTTATGATCTTCAGTAAAATATAATTTCTCTCTTTCCCTTTATAATCACACAATAATTTCTCAGGATACACATACACACTATACTCTGGCATTCATACCAAGACACCCACACATTTTATGTTGCATACATTTATTTCTGTGTATTTGCTCAGGTCAAACATGGCTTAATCTGATGGAAAACAGATGTAAATTATTGTAAACTATAATTTTGTAGCCTGGACTTTAAAATTAAAGCTGAATAAATAAAAATTCATGATTTTATGCTGTGATGGGAAATGTATCAAAAAATTCATTTGTAATTGGTTTCAATGGGGAGTGTAGCAATATGTACTATATACATTATGGAAGCTGAGGCTTGAGACAACGCCCGCCCCCTACACTGGTTCTGATTGGGTAACCCTAACCCTGACCAATCACAAGCCTCATTCCACACTGATTATGGACTGTATAGCTCTGGTGCCAATAAGGATTACCAGCATGCACACACGCTTGTACATACTCTTTGGACTACTGATTATGTCCATATACTTAAACCAATACTCTTACATATTTTGGAATACTGAACATTCTTAATGTTCTCATATTGTGTATCTTAGTGTATTCATTTCCTACTTTCACTACTGATGTCATTGACTCTATGTTATATCTATATATATATATATAAGTATATACACATATCTGCATTTCAATTTGGGCAAGTGTAGACCTAATTTTCTTTATGAAACACTTTCCCCATTTTCCCTTTGATTTTTAACATTGCGGCTCCCTTCCCCTAGGCCCCCAAGCAGCATGGTCCTCGATTACAGTATTACAATATGCAGTACCTACTGGGTGCATGATTTAAGATGACCCAAATATGAGCTACTAAGATGTCCCATTATGTCTCTGAAATTACCTTCACCTTCCACCTATTGTCCCGCACAAGTACTTCATTGAGGGAAACATAATACAAACAATATAAATGTATGTAAAAAAATAACTAAATTATTGTCATTTCTGGATAAGAGTGGAGGTTTTGAGTTCAAGAAAGACGTGGTGTGGGACAGCCTCACATCTGGATGTAGACCACATAATATATTTGCTTATACTGGAGATCTTTAAAATTAATGTCACAGAAATTATTTCTGATCATTCGTTGTAGTATTAATTTGGTTAAGTCAGACTGCTGCTCACCAGCTACTAATTTAACAAACATAAGTGATGGGAGACTCAAATATAGGTGACAGCATTGTGTTAAGTTAAGCAGATATGCCTACCTGGGGCTATGAGAGCTGAAGCAGTGCTGAAACAGCAAACACTGTCACGTTTAAGGGGAGCAGGTGGACCCAAGCATGCAGAACCAAAATGGTTTAACAAAAAGTGTCCCTTAATAAAGGCAGGGGTCTTTACAGAGGTCAAACAAAATCCAAAAGGTAGTAAACTCAAAAATGCTCACAGCAAAAACAGGGCAGACACAAGGAGTCACTAGAGAACTTACTTGAGGGACAACACATTACGACAACGAACCGACAAAGACCAAGGCAAGCACAGAGACTTTAATACACACTGAACTAATGACCAACTAGAGACAGGTGGCACAGGACAGACAGGTGAAACTGCTGAAGGCAGGAAGTCCAGGTGGAAAACATACAAGGAGCAGAAAGTACAAAATAAAACAGGAAACAGATGAACACAGAGAGGAGCACGGAGTGGAACACAGAGAGAAACAGAGCGGGACAAGGAAAACACACCAGAAGCAAAGCTACCACATCCAACTGAAAACTCAGAATACAAATCCAAACATAAGAAAACACAGTCCATAATAATTTATTCGGAGAAAATAATGAAAACATAATTTACATCAGTAAATGTTTTTGACATTGTTATCAGTTAAAATTACACTCTGTTCATTTCTTTGCTGTTAGACTGTTTCTCATATGACCTTTATAAGATTAAATTGTGAAACAGCTGGGTGATAGAATAATAGTGTAAACAAGAGGATGGACTCTGACTTATGACAGGATGAACTTAGCACTGATATGCAAGCTTGATGTGGGTGCCACTTAGACAACCAGAGCTGTGTGCTTTGCTATGACTATAAATAACTGAAACCTCAGATAAGGAGAAAGTTATTATTTTCTGACTTCAGTTAAGTACTGAGATACTATCTACAGAATGTAATGTACCCTTATATTGTGTGTTTATTTTCCTGAGTGCTTATAGCACGGCTTTCACTGCATCAACTCATGCATCTTAACTTCCTATAACATGGTGTAGAAGTGTAAGAAAATTCCCCCAATATATTATGTTAAATGTAATTTATTATGCAATAAGTCAGTTGCTGGAAATCATATGAACTATTGTAATGCAGAAAAGGTTTTAACTACAAAAATAGTGGCGCAAAATAAAAATGAGAATCTGGGGCATATGAAATAATTCAGTTAGAGCACTTTAAGATATTCAGACACTTTATACAAGTTAAAAACAATCAAAAAAACAGAAAACTAAATCAATCGGTAGTGCGGACTAAGTGGGTTTTGATTGGTGATTTGAAAGTGGACAGTTATGCTTGATGTGTTTAGGGAAAGGGGGGGGGGGTGTCCAGTTTATGTGCTTGGTCCCGAGAGATGGCGATAGGAGGCTGGCATCAGGAACGTGGTGGTGGAGCACAGTGGTACAGCTTCACTTGAGAAGATCTGAAGGACACACACAAACCATGCAGGACAATAACTATTACTATTATTAACAACACTACTTTCATGTATGCAAACAGACTCATCCACCAAGTC